ATTTTCGGGATTTTTTTTCCCCTTTTTTTTCTTATAGTTGAGGTATACCTATGATGAAAATTACAGGCCTCTCTCATCTTTTTAAGTGGGAGAACTTGCACAATTGGTGGCTGACTAAATACTTTTTTGCCCCACTGTATGTGTGGGTATGTATGTGCGTGTATATATACACACACACAGATATATATAAAATATATAAAATTTTGTAATGATTAATTACAGATCTGCACAAATTGCTGTTTTTAATTAAAATTTAGCAAATGAGAGTTGTCATTTTTATTTCTCAAAATTGCAGTGCTCATTTCTCTCTGCTAGTTCAGTGATGGACTCATGTTAAAGTACTAAAACTTCCATTAATTTGCATTAATTTGTTTTTATAGATTACTTGCATACCTTTGCCGCCCTTCCCCATTTATGTAAATGAACTTAGTCTGATATCTAAAGGAACAGCAGCCCAACGTAAATTGTTAATCACTGAGTATATGACTTCATGGCCTAACCCTGTCTTCAGTGTAGCAATCCAGGAAGCCATCTGCAATGAGTGCCCACCTAGCCTCTGTTTAAAAACCTTCACCAAGGGAAAATCTACTGCTTTTCTTAGTAAACAGCTCTACTACTAAATTATCATCAGGAAATTCTTCCTAATAATCACCGTGAATCTCCTTTCCTTTATTTTCAGCCAGTTAGCCCTTGTTCTGTCAGTTTCAACCTCCTACATAAGATGTACTATACCACTATTATATCTCCCCTAAGTCTCTTTCCCACCCCCTAATTAAATAAGCTCCTTTAACTGATCTTCATAGGGCTTAGTTTCCAAACACATTATTCTGGTAGCCTTCCTCTGAACCTGCACCAGTTTCTTCATATTCCTTTTAAATGTCATCCAATGAGGTAAATGTTTTCTTGGAAATGCCTATAGTAAAGTAAGTACAGAAATTAGCATCAGTTTTATTTTTACTGTGCAATTAAAAATAAAAGCTTGAAGACTTCAAGAAAATACTGTGGAGAGCAGCAAAGGGTGAATATCTGTTTAGGAGCCATTAAACACTTCATATGTGTTTTCAATCTAAACATTTAAAATATAGTTTAGGCAGTTTGATCTCAAGTTTGTTCCTATGCTAATAGTAGGTACATAAAAGTAGCAGGTGTGTCCCTCATTGTGAGCAGCAGAATATAAAACAACAAGAAGCTTAGTTAAATGAGTGCTTACAGGGGATTTATTCTAATGATAATCTCTTCTAGAACAATGGACTATGACTGCTCTAAATTGTTTTTGTATATGGCACACAGTTATCTTTATGTCAGTTAAAATGTTGCAGGTGTTACTGAGAAAACGCAAAGT